ATTTATTTTTATTGAGACGTTCCAAGCGCCTATGCTTTCAACAGTCTTGTAGTTGTACGTCAATGCACGCACGTCAAGAGCCACAAACTCAACACAATTTTATCTCTGTTATTGTTTACGCCTGAATGCGTGATTGATCAGGGAGGGGGTGCATGTAAGAGGGAGACATTTTCTTTGGGGTTCCGAAAAACACAATTCCACTTGACAATTTCATGGGCCATTTCAATTGGAAGCTCTGCATAATGGACCCCCAACAAGCCCTTTGACTGACTAGTCAAGAAATTCCAAGGTCTGTGTATATTGCTCTTATTTAGCCGCCGATAGTTCTTATTTAGAACAAAGTCTTCATTGTTATCTTCTAAAACTACAGACCATCCGCTGACCGCTGTGGAGACGTGTGCCGGGCCTCAAATTGGGCACACGTCTCCACTGCAGACAGCGTTTCATACTTGAAAATCCCTGCGGTCGCATGCGCATATCCCGCGGAACTGCGCATCTCATCCACGCGCAGCGCTCAGGATCAACAGCAAAGCTGTGCCACGCAATCTTGTACCATGTCTCTCTGGACAAGGTGAATATGGGGCACGTGTTGTTATTATAAAATTTGCCTAGTAGTAGTACATTTGCAGGATGGTTAGTGGTCTTATCAGATAACTAGCTCGACTGGCTAATGACAAAACAAGCTTCTATAGCACTTCACATGACTCCACTGATTTTCAAGAAGTGACATGTAATCCAAAGAACCAAGCTAGCCAAGAGCAACCTAAAAATAGCCGCTTAGAACATCAATGTCAGCACACAGACCTAGTTCAGTTGTAACCGGTTCTACCTGGTTAGGAACAACACAAACCATATACTGTGCCCACAGTTATACAAGACAAGATAGATAAGATATATATGATAAAGATAAGAAATTGTAGTACATTACATTAGGTTGAGAAGATGTGGCATGTGTGTGTATTCTATTTGAATACAAGGTACGTATGTTATTCCAACATGTCACACACATCCCAAATACCGAACGTTTGCCTATGGAGTAATGCCAACCATCAACAGACTCAATGATATTAAAGATTCACACAATGAACAAAGCATTTTACTGACAAATCTTCAGTGAATCCGGACACTACTGATAAGTCAATGAGTATATGAGCCTGACCAGACCAGGATATGTATTCTAGGTGCCTGTGAAACACACATTAGCCTTGAGAACCTGTTTGTATTATGTATGTGTATTTGTGGGGACAAGTCAAACCAATCCTATTGCATGATTACTTCTGGCTGATTTCCAATAACTTCATATACACCACTGCAACAAATTCAGATCACCTGTGATGACTGTACATAACAACGGGCAGGGAAGTAAATCCCGGGGGGATGGGGGATGCACCCCCCCCCGCTCTTGAAGGAGGGGGGATGGCCTGTACAAATATCCCCCCTGAGATTCAAAAAAAAAGAGAGGAAAAAAAGAAAAAAGGAAGAAGAAGAAAAAAGAAAGAAATGTGATTGTTTCAATTTCAGCATAATGCATGAGAAATAAGTTTTTTTAAACTGTATCGTATACTGTATAGCCCTACAGTAACACTTCAGTGTTAATACTGGCTTATTGCAATGGTCATGCCAAGCAGACTTTCAAGTGGGGCAGCGGAGGAAGGAGTGCACTCCCAGAGGATATAGTCTCTTCAAAAGCCATAGTGCGTATGCGGGTGCAGTGGAAATCTACACCGTCAATATATCGAATGCTTCTTGCCAGCAGATACGAGAATTGTCTGTCTTGAAACGCAGAATGTGAGATTTTACGAATTATTTAATTGAACAACACATTTAACAATGTGGCCTTGAGGGCGGCAGACCATTGCAAATGACTTTAAGAGTATTCCAGACTCAAATAGCCAAAAAGTATGGTTGCAAAACATACAAAAACCGGTGAATTGTGAGAAATTGTACAATTCTTACCTGCTGTTTTAAATTTTATAATACATGTTATTATTACTATAGTAACCTAACTGTGGATACGCTCTCTGAAAAGTCATGAAAGTGTTTGAATCCTAACTTGTAGGGTTGAGTCTAAGGGTTGAGATATGTCATCAGACATGAGAAATGGCCCACAGTATGGACCTCATATATGCAGGAAAATGAGGTTATAATATTTCAACATTTTCAGGGGGGCATGACCCCCAGACCCTCCTAGCACTGGATGCCTACGGCACGTGCCAAACGTAGGTTTGTCGAAATTTGGCATGTGGGCGTGCATGTCTGTATGCATTGTATAAATGTATGTACTGTGTTTGTGTGTGTGTGTTGTGTGTTTTTCGTATTGTCGTGAGTGTAATGTGTGTATTGTGTGTGTGTGGTGTGTGTGTGTGTGTGTGTGTGTGTGTGTGTGTGTGTGTGTCTGTGTGTGTGGGTGTGTGTATGTTCGTGCGTGCGCGATAATGCGCGTGTGCGTAAATTATTGTAGGCTTGTGCTCGTTCTAGTATGTGATGGCTATCGCCGATCATCCCCACACTACTCGGTACGGATTTACGCCCCTGACAATGGGCATACAATAGTATAAGAATTTTCAAAACTATCATGGAAATAGGGATTTCCATGGATTCCACATAAATGAATAATGTAAAATGTTTATTGCCATCCGACAGTTACTATTAAACTTTACTCGCAACATTACCTTATTGTGATGTACCACAACAGGCGTGAAAAATAATACAATACTGGAATCAAACACCTCTTAAAAATTCTACTATATGTACAAAAATGTTTTTTTTAATACTACACAAAGCTTTCAATGTTTTAAAATTATATTCTGCAGTTAGGTTAAACACATTACAGAGTAGTATATTTCACCAGCAGATACCATATAATATATGCATCTTCAATTTTTCAGTGCAGACAGCATACTCCCTCTTTGGATGCAATAATTACTGTTCATTATTGTGGCAGTGTGCTGCACTTTAATTTGAGATAACAGATTAGTTTCAGATGTTTAACTAATGCAGAGATAAGTGTCAGACTGCAAGATTAAATGGTTAAAACTCCTGAGTGAATTACTCAAGCACAAGCCTGTAGACAAACCTAATTAAATAAAGGCAGGCTGTATTACATCATTACATGAGCTGTTTGGGACAAATGTAAAAATGTCTATAATTTAAATCAGTACTATTCTGGCTAAGAGTATATAGAGTTAATGTGAATTATCCAATGACCTCAATTCCAACTGTTACTATTACTATAGCTTTAATATAGTTAATAACATATTTTCTTAAGAAAACGTATATATAAAAATGTCAGCTAAAGAATTAACTAAGTAATACATTTACGAATGCAAGAACTGATGATAGGAGGAAATAGCGGATGTTGTGAGTCTTAGCATTAGTAACAGCAAGAATTCAGGTAAAATTTTAAGCCTATTACATTACTGGCCAAGCAGCAGAATGTGGCAGTTCTTAGCAAGATTAATATTTGGCGATGATTTTTTTGCAAGAAACACAAACATCAAACACAAAGGATTGAATTTGGACTCAATAAAATTTAACGAGATCTCACGTGTGCACAGTGGGCATCTAAGATTTTAGGTGTCTGTCAGCATTCATTAACTGCATATATGTAAGCAAGATTACAATCAGTGTGTGGGTACCTGCACAATCCTAGTTTGGTACCACGGCCCTAATTTTCCCAAAGTGCAAAACCAATGGCCCAAGCCTAGTTTTAATACAATCCCGGATTAGTTTAGCCCATATGTGCAAAAACACATTTGCGGGGTTCAAAACTATCCTTGTTCCAAACTAATCTGTGGTGTTGAACTAGGATTTGGCTGTGGGTACCTCGGGTATGCAGTGCCAGTATGCTATCACTAGTGTAAGCTAACTTACACGATGGCTGTGCATCATAGAGGAATTCGCTCAACCTTAATTTAAGACCCTGGTACATAAATCGTCATCGTCTAAACGATTTCTAAGTCAATGATTAATATCTGGGGTACTAATTAGGCTTGAACCGAAGGCGAAGAAGTGGTACACAGTATCAGTAACACACCAGTCATCAGTGAGCATAATTCCAAAAATTGCACATGCAAGTAACGCTGATAGGGTCTATGTCACCCAGGGTACTGCCGGAACGTACCCTGGGTACGGTCCGGTATATACCGAAACGTAGCCCTGGCAACTATCTGATATGCCGACCGTACCTCGCTTACTCCCTACTGTACCTGACTGTCCCTGTTCTGCCCCTACTGACTGACGCAAAATTTGAAAATATACATACAGACCTGTATGATATCTTTATAAAGTTGGAATGGAGTATGAAACTGTGAAACCAAGAAGAAATTTCAACTTATATACACTGATGCGAGCAATCCTTTTGCAAAATATCGCGATGATCGGGAATGCGTTTTCTATTCGCAATGTGTTACGACATTTTCGCGCATTTTTCGTGCGAGATTTTGAAAGATGGCTCAAAGTGTTGTGGTGGAACAGGAAAATTTGTATGATTATCTAATGGGTTGGAAACGTATAGACTCGCTGACACTTGTAGAAAGGGTCGGGAGGTGAAACGTAAGCAGGGTAAGGGTTACGAATTTTGCCGGAACGACCGGAAACAAGGAATGGGAGCATAAAGCGGCGAGTTTCCTGCCGACAAGCGGTATGTATTACGACATCGGCTGAATCAGGGTAGCAGTTTGGAGTAGGCAAGGTATGGTCCGGCATATTAGATAGTTACCAGGGTACCCTACGTTCCGGTATACCGGACCGTAGCCAGGGTACGTTCCGGCAGTACCCTGGGGGACATAGACCCTATCAGCGCAACTTGCGCAAGTAACATGTTCTGCTGACTGAATAAATGGTAAAAAATACCACATAATGTACGCTTTAACATAAGTTGACGTATTTACTATTTAGTATACAAATCACATGAGTTGTCTGTAAGTTGTTACGACATGAACTGTTAGTGTTATTAACTTAGGCCTACGTCTCCAGAGAGAGTTAACCAAAAATACGATGAAATCTGGTGCAATCCATTTAGGCCCCCTTAGGTATCACGAAGTGATGCACAGATTGCTGTGTATCATTAAAGCGTCCAATGCGCATTCAAACGCTAATTTCTTCAGTACTAGACAGCAAATACTTCGTGTCATGCATTATCATACTACCTTATGGCAAATAAACTCTAGTTCCTCCCATTTCACTGCGCGTTGTCTTATAAAAGGTATTTTGAAAATCTCCGATGTTGTTGACAGTTCCCCATCTCCAAGCAACCGTGCAGCGGTCCGCGGTACAGCGGTACGGGCGCAGCAAAGATAAAAACATGTGACGTCACGTCACCACTTCGATGTTATGTTGTTTGAAAACAATTTAGCGTTGGCGCCTGATTACCTGATTATCGCACCTCTTTCTTGTTGGGAACCGCGCAGTCAAAATGGAGGAACTAGAGTTTATTTTGGCATACGGTAGTATGATTATGCATGACACGAAGTATTTGCTAGTCTAGTACTGAAAGAAATTAGCGTTTGGATGCGCATTGTGCGGCTTTAACTGATGCACAGACTGATATCAAGGAATGATGCAAAAACCCTAACCCTAGCCCAAACCTTAACACACTTCGCTGATACATAAGCCTACGGTTATACTTTATGACTTAGGGTTTTTGCATCATTCCTTGATATACGGAAAGTCTGTGCATCAGTTGATGATACACAGAAATCGGTGCATCACTTCGTGATACGGCTAAGGTGCCTAAACTGGCTAAAGTGGATTTGCGCCTGAAATCCTACTGTTCAGCTCTTCGAAACAATGCATTAACTAAGACTGAGTTAACGATGTCTGAGACATATTACTTACCAAGTGATAAAATGTTTACCAATATCGACAGCTAAAATAACATGAAACTATAGAAAGTATTTATTGTAGTTTAATCAACAAAAACTACAACGCACGTCGCCATCTTGACATATCCCGAAACACACCGCGAAAACGTTTCCACGGGGTGGCGCTGTGGCGCGAACCTGTCGCGCTAGCGCGCGAACCTTGGGTTTGGTTTGGCCATAGAAACACAGAAATATGGGTTGGTCCCACATAGAAATAATAGGCTTACAGGCTTATAGGCTAGTTGGCTTACAGTGTCTCTATACATTTCCATAATAATAACAGTCATTATATACAGCTCACTGTTAGTGATCGTACTCAGAAATGTTCATTCTTACCGCGGTAGAAATACTTGAACCGCGGTTCAAAAACAAGTTCAAGTAAAATTTATTTTCATCGGTATATAATGAACATTATTAACATAAGCTAAAAGCTTTTGCACCGATATCAAACAAGAGTAAATAGATAATAATTAAAACATGATAAAAACTGCGTAACTGCAGTGTCACTATCACATAATTGGCCGAATCTTCAACTACGCCATAAAGAGAACCGACTCAACCTTCTCAACAAAATTCTTTCATCATTTCTTTCAACTTTCTCAACAAATTTATTTTCATCGGTATATAATGAACATTATTAACATAAGCTAAAAGCTTTTGCACCGATATCAAACAAGAGTAAATAGATAATAATTAAAACATGATAAAAACTGCGTAACTGCAGTGTC